TTTAGGATGAATTTTGAACTTGAAGCAAATTGAACAACTTTTTAAGCATATAACTTATCTTGATTCCTAAATTTTTGCTAATTTCTCTCCAAGTCTTGTTTTTTTAAGTATCTTTGATAATGGTGTATAAAATCTACATTCCATAAAGAACCATATTGCCCGATCAGTTGAACGTAACAAGCTTCCCCAAATTCTGACAGAATGCCTTCTTTCTCCATTACTATATTCAACACTCTCATTGGGTGGCTCTTGCGATCGGTGCAAAGAAAACAGTCAGGTTTATTGTCTGTTGCGGCTAGAAAGATGAACTGTGTAAACATAGTGTAATGTCAGGAAAGCATGCTTTACCTTCACTTATAATTTTTATCTTTCAGCTTTGGATAAATTTTAAATAAATAACTTATAAAAGTTTAGGTAATATCAAATATGTGATTTCCAAGTTTAGCGACTTCACATAAAATGGAAATAGATTTCCAGAAACACTATATAAAGTATAGGAATCAACATTTATTAACTGATAAAACATTTTTTTGGGACTTCCTCGTTCATTATCGATAACACTCTGCATTTGAATCGAATAATAATAATAACTGAACAGTTTCTAGATAGGAACTATTTCAGCATTTCTGCAATTTACTCCAATTAAATATACAATTATAAGGAAATATAGACACAAAGTAAACCACTTTTTAACTATGTGATTAGTTGTATTATCTAATATATTAATATAAATTAATTATTAATCTAATGTATTAAATTATTTAATTAACCTTAATTTTATAATCGACCTTCTTTCATAATGACAAGCAATATTAATAATTAGCACTAACTATTATGAAACAAGTAGACTTTTGACTTCGTTGTATTATTCATTTTTAGCTTAAAATCAAAGGTGTTTTATTTGCGTGATATTCTTAATTTGCGTCATTTTCTATTGTGGAATGTGTGGATGGCTGCTCGAGTAACCGCAAATTTGTGTTGCTTGATAAATTACTTCTTTGTATTTCAAACACATCACACCCCAAATCTTTTTTACTGTTTTTTTAATATATGTAGAATAATTCTTGTGCCATTTTTGGCTTTAGATTTTTATTGGCCTTTCTGCTTGAACAAATCCTTCCCTTTCTATTGAATACATTATATTTTAAAGCTCTTGATAAATAAATAAATTTTAAAATATCTACTAATTTCTTGTATTGTTTAATTCATTGTTTGAAATGTAAGAAGAAAGATGTACAGATATCCCTCATTATATACAATCTCACTTTATGCATTTTCACTATAATGCAATTTGAAAAAATCAAAATATATGCCAAATTAAAATCTGTGAAGATTGTCAACTCACTCATCCAGAATCTTAAATAAGGAAGTTGAAGACGTTTAAATGTTTATTAGGTAACAAGAAGTTAGAGAAAACAATGTATATACTGTAAAATAAGTAATTAATGTTCAGCAGTTTTATCTCCATGCTCTTCTTCATATATAAGAATCTTTCATTTTAATTCATAAACTTCCAGTATTCAAATGACAAAATGGCATCATTGGCATATCATAACAAAGGTCTCATGAGGGAAAATTGCAGCAAAAGTGTTAAGTAGTGTAGTGAAAATATATTACTGATGTTTAATGCATCATTAGATCTACTTGGTATGGCAGCCAATTGTTTTTTTTTTACTTCAAATGTAAGATGCATATAAGTTTCAGAGAAGTAAACATTGGTTTAAAATCTGTCAAGTTCAATTCAAAGCAGACTCCAAGCCACAGAGAGGGCATTGATATTCTTATAATTGATGGAATGACCCTGTTGCAGCACATCTATAAATGTATAGAGTTTCCATGTAACATGTGATGTCTATTTCTAATACTTCTGATAATTTTAGCATGTTACCAGCAAACATCATCTGAATCAGAGAGAGCATAGGCAGCAAGGGCTGTGACTGGTTCACATTTCTGGATGTTATATTAATGCTTCTTCAGTCTAGCATAAAAAGATTTTAAAGTGGCCCCAATATATTGAAGGTCGTGTGCGATTCTCTTGTCATTGAGAGGAAAAGCATATACTCTTTGGATATTAATGGGGTTGGGAGGGTCCTTTTCATTACATAGTAGCTTACAGATAGTATTCCTTTTGTATATGATCCTTCTGCCAGTGGCTTTATTGATCTCCTTGTAGACTTTGTGGGGATCTAGTGTACTCCATCACAGTATAATCAGTGCTTGAAGAGTTTGTGATGACTTTTGGTTCCAAGTGCAACTTATCTGTTATGGCATAGATTATGTGATAGGTTTAAATCCCAAACCATTGTGCAAGTTTTCTGACATATTTAAATCCTTGCATTCTTGTCCCAGATATCTTGACAATAAGTATTGGCCTTTCTAATTATAGCCCTAAATGCTGCCAGTTTATAGTGCAAAGGGTTATGGGAGGCTTGGGGAATGAAGAGTGGACTGTAGGTGCATCTTCTACAGATATTGGTTTTAACTACTATGAAAACAGAAAAAAGTGTCCAGGGAGTGTGCTTTACAGTCACTTTCTTGCTCCAGGTGTAAGGTTGAGCAAGGGAGTTGAGATGACAAATTCCCAGACGTCAAAGCATCTTTTCCAAATGATCGAAATGTCATTAATTTATCAAACATATAAATAGATGTTAAATGTATACTTAGGTAAAAATTGAAGATCTTAAGACCAACTCACATAGGGTTCCAGAGAGGAGGCTGTCTGTACATGTGCCTCTATTCTGAATGTAGGTGATGCCATCAGATACAAAGAAAGAATAATATGTGGCTACTTATGTTAATTCCAAGATTTGCAATAGCAGTCTAGAAGAGTGCTTGATGTTATGTAGGAGGAAGTCCCTGAGATGGCAAAAACATGATTCTGATCTTATAGAAGGATATAAGGCTTCAAAGTCAAGGACTCTAATATATTCTTCTTCAAAAAGTACAAGGTCTTGGAGTTTTCTAAAATGAGAGTTAATGGTTGCATAATGCTGTAGTGATATGTGGGAAGGTGCCCAGTAATAAATTTGTTAAGAATGCAACATGAATGGTAGGCAAATAACTTTTATCTACAACCAATCTTAAGTTTCTTCCTGGTTTATGTACCTTTACAAAAGCAAATAACCTCGGTGTAAAAGGTGAGAGGACAATGGGATTGTTCATTTTGATCTCATGTGCCAAAGATGTATTTAACTTTGGCTCCTATCAGAACAGTTATAATTCAATGTGCAGTTGGTAGAAACAATGTAATATTTCTAATGATCGTGGTTTATGTTCCTGTACATATGCTGTAATAATTCAGCCTCCATTCCTGTGATAGATAAAAGAAGAAACTATGTAATCTTGTAAAGCTAGATTGTAAGAGGAACAATATAAGATAACCATATATTTTGACTTGTTGACCTTTAACTTTAATGATACAGAAATTAAAAATAATAAACAAATAAACTTCCATGTTGATTCAAATACACACTTTATTGAGATACAGTAGCTCAAAGAAAACTGTAATCACTGACCCACGTGCACAGTATGCATGATTCTACGATGGCATAAATAAAGAATCGATGCTCTTTTTTCGACATCTGTTAGAGTTGGTAGAAAGACAATTGTAAGTACTGGATATAACAGACTGACCTATCTCTCAAAATAAATCTGGAAGCTGGATACACACAAAAACTTTATGAATTTCAAAATAATTTATATGCTTTGATTCTATTCTGATGGAAGTGGTTTGTTTCTACTTTTAAAATTATGAACTAATTACAATATGTAATACAGTAATACCCCGAACTTATGCGATAGGTGGGACCAAGCGATAACCGTGTAAGTCAGGGTATAATTTCGCAATTTGTGTAAAATCCAAGTCGGATGTGTGTAAGCTAATAAATGTTCTTGTTAATCTTATCTCGTCTTTTGATTCATTCATGGTTACAAGAAATCACCACATAGAGTCTCTGAAGTCTCCGTAGATATAACAAACACAGAAATAAATAACACAAAATAAATTGTAGCTATGTGTCGATTCCGCACGACTAGTCTGAACATGTAAGCTGAACAATAGTGTGGGGCAAGTGAGTAATTGAGAGTTACGTGGCACTCAAACAAAAGACGAATCAGCGAGATTTGAAAATCACGTAACTCCAGGTTTGCGTAAGTCGAGGTATTACTGTATTGTAATTTGGTTGTTTGTTATTTCTGTTAGTTATTATTTTAACTGTTTTAATAATTTTTAAAACTAAATTTTTAATCCCCAGTCTTATTAACTTCCAGTTTCCACTTTAACTGTCTTAACGTAATCATTTGGCATTGTCGTGGTGTATAAAGTACTAATTATAAGAGAAAGTGTACTTTTTTTGTGTCGGAACAAGCATCGTTAGAATAACATTGCCAGTGGCTACTATAATATTGACGTTATAAGTTCTGGCCAATGCTAGAATCAAAATACATGCCCCTCACCACCCTCTGCATTGTACTTCGGCTCACATGATGTGAGCCAAAGTATGCAATGCAATACAGACTGGCATTGCAGAAGTGCACCGCTTCCAGGTTTCTCGAAGTGACTTTGGAAAAGCCAAGAAGCAGTGCCCTTCCTATTAAACAACATAATATAATTACTATTGCACTCACGGAAGCACAACACATTTTATATTACGTATTAACTAAACTTGTCAATGTTGAAATGTCTATCCTTGTCTGCGGGACTGCTGATGTACTCTGCATTAACATGAATGTCATATAAATTGATAATGTAATGAGGCTCGATTGTGTTTGCACACATCAAATACAAATAAATGACACGTTAAACAGTATCGTCATCAAATTTTTAAGAAATTTCAAACCGTTAGATGACGATTTTAAGTTGTTGTTCTTATTTCAGAAATAAGAAATTTGTTTGAATGCAAGATAATTTATTAAATTTTATTACCATATGGTAATTATACATATTATTGAACTATTGTATCTGAATATAATAATGAATGAATTTCTTAAAATATTTTCAGGGTGGTGAAAGAAGAGATTAGTGATGATAATTCCAGACTTCCTTGTTTCAATGGAAGAGTTGTATCATGGGTAAGTTTTTGAAAATTAAAATTTGATTAAATATATGATAGATTAATAATTTGGCTCTTTGATCATGACTTCTTATTGTTCTTATTATGATTGTGTCTTTTTGTGTATTTGCATATAAAACAAGTCTGACGGTGAGTTGTGTAACTTTCCCAGCAAAAGTGCACGTTTAAGAAATGCTAAGATGCATTGGCATAAAAGTTAAAATTGTGTGTGTTGCCATCTGTTACAAGATTTAGTTAAAAAAAAAAAAATAACTTTTGTATTGTTAATTATTCTAAAATGGCAAAAGGTTTAAAGAGTTTAATTTTATTTTCCTGGCTGTTATGTACACACAACAACAGCTAAATTTGACTCTCAGCTTTTTGCAAATCTCCATGCTTTCAGACCTCCTGAATGTAAAAAAAGTAAAAGGCAAAAAAAAATTCTTTTTTTTTTTTTGTTTATTTTGGCATCTATTTTGCTTAATATCTCAGTGTGGGGTAAAGATTAAGAAACAAAATTTGACACGATGGCTTGTATTTGGAGCATTGATGCTTTTAAATTTTGGTGGTGAGAGGTCGAAAGGGGTCAGTAGGAAAATAGAGGGGGATTCATGTATCTCAAGAGGGGTATGACTTAATGCAGATTGTGTTCATTATTAACATTTACACTTTTTTATAAAACTCACCTAAGCTTTTTGCCGTTTTATAGTAATTAAAAATATGTAAAGTTATTTATAACAAAATCTGATAATAGTGCCACACACAATCTAATTTTTTTGCTTAATAATATAAAAGTTTTTTAATAAAAACTTATAACAGCTGGGAAAATTACACAGCTCTCATTGCTAGATTTTTGAGAACAGTTATGTTTTTTAAAAATATTAAAGGCCAATGATGAGCAAAATTTTTTTATTACGTCTGACCCCCACTTCCGTTTAAGATATGAAATGTGAAATCCTCTATCTTTTAATTAATCACCAAAATTGAACAGCTTTGATGTTCCTTATGTGCCAGTTACCATGCCAAATTTCATTTCTTAATCTTTATCCCATCCTGAGATATTAAATGAAATAGAAACCAACAAACACCTCCGTGCACACGTGGAATTTTCTGGTTTTACTTAATTTTTTTCGTTTCAGGGGTCTGAAAATGTTGAGATTTGCAAGATGGTCAAAAACTCTATTTATTTGTGTATATGTATATTAAACTAGAAGACGGATATTTATCATAATGAATAATTTGTAAATAGTACTTGTAAAGATTACCAGACAACTTAAAAATATTAAACAGAACTTATAAATTCCAGACATGTATTTAACTAAAATTGAGTGTTTAAATTTTACATAAATCATTCATATGATAACTAAACATTTGATAAAATGCAAATATTGAAAATAATTTTTTATTTTGTAGTTGGTGACGGCAGAAGGCAGCAGTCTTTCGGACAGTACTTCTCAGTGTACAGAGACTATGTCGCAAAGGTCAGAATTAAGACTTCCTTTGGATAGACCTGCTGGCATTGGAGATAGACCTTCTTCTTTTCAGTAATCATTTATTTCTTTTAAAGCATTTATTTATTTTTCATTAAAATTATTTAATTAATTTTATTCTGTTTGTTTATTTTATATGTTAATTTATTTTTCTATTTTTGTTACATTATACATTTTTATTTTGAACAAATTTTAAATTATATCCTTGGTTTAAAATTGAATTTCTCAGTTCTAACATTGCAGAACTCAGCAGCGTCTTATTTTAAATCAGTATGGAAGTTTAAATGTATAAAATCCTGAAGCAATTTAATAAAAAGTTTTCATATAATTTATTTATTGATGGTTTGCTTGATTTTTGATTATTTAGTGCTGCCGGATTAGAGCATAGGGACACTCAAGGAGACACTACTTGCACAGAAACAGAATCAATAATTAGTTCTAGAAGAGGTAGTCATTTAAAATTTAATTAACCTATTGTTAATTATGTATGATTTTATATTTGATGTAATAATAAAACAGTTTTTATAAATTTCTGTTTCAGAACATGGACATCCACATCGTTCGGCGAAACAGAGGGATAAACATTATCATGATGAACATGGTAAGATTTAAAATCTCATCTTTGCAATTATTTGTGTTAGGTTCTCCTATCTGCCTTTAGAGAAGTAATTCTTGGGGATACCCATGAAAAATTTTTATGTAAAAAAGTCGCTTTCTATAATCTTCAAATTTCAAAAACTTGCACACAAAATCCTCATGATCTCATTGAGTAATAAGTGAGTGAGTAGATATTTGTAAAAATCTTTTGCAATGTTGGGTGATGCATTCTCATGTGTGATTTGAAATGGGTTTGCATGCTTAATTTGAGGCATAGAAAGTGGTGGGTAAAAACACTACAACTGAATATTTGACTTTCCATTTGTGGAATTATGGTTTCTTTTTTGACATCGTTCTGCAAGATTGAACCATCAGTAGAGAACTATAGTTTGTCCATCTTTGACAAAAGCACGTTTTGTAACAGAAATATCTGGCATTAATCAACTAAAAAAAAAAGACATTCCTTCACGACTGCACTAGTACATTGGGTAAGAATAACCCGACAAAAAACATTGGATACCTATGCCGTTGATGTGTTGCCATATCCACTGTAAGGCCCAAACATTTCATAACCAATTATGGTTTATTTAGGATGTTGGCCCATTTCATGGCTGCTAGTTGGTATCAAAATTTTGACAATGTCGAGATGGCCATGCAGTATTTTGCATCTAAATGGGGGTCAAAAATTAGTCAAGGGTTGATTCAAAATGGTTCTTTAAAAATTATTAGTTTAGTGGGTTATCTATACAGCAGTTTAGGATAGCATAAATTTGCATGCTAAGTAGATCTTTTCTCCAAATATAATGTGTATTGCTAATGTTAATCCACATTATAATAATAATTTTTAAATGTCAGGTCCCTGTACTTGTAAACCGCCAATTCCCTGTGGATGTCCTAGTGCTCGTCTTAACGGTCATAGTAAACACAGCCACGCTCACCTTCATCCCCATTCCGAAAGACACCGAGGACCCGGTCACGGATACGAGTCCTCATCCATGATGACCAGCGATATTGAAAGCACTAGTTTTTTAGATTCAGAAGACGAAACGACTAGCAGGTACACACTATTTTTATGGCAAATAGCGACATTAAGTTGAAATTTTATGACATTTTTCTAAAATGTTCAGAATATCCACCACAACGGAAGAGAGCAGCGTATCGAGAATACACGCCAGACACAGGAGACGGAGGAAGAGACATCGCATGCCGCCCATGAGCAGAGTAAGTATGTTATTGAATGAAATTTATAATTAATTGGTAGTTAATCCATATGATTACTTTGCAGACATCGTCTATCAGCAGTATTACGGATTCGACTATGTCGCTTAATATCATCACAGTAACCTTAAATTTAGGTATGTTTAATTATAATTAAGTACAGAATGTACTTTTGCATTGGTTAAAAATACATACATATGTATTCAATTTCAGATACAGTCAACTTTTTAGGAATCAGTATTGTTGGTCAATCAAATAAAGGGGGAGATGGCGGTATTTACGTTGGTTCTATCATGAAAGGGTGACTATGGATTTCTTTGCAATTGCATTTTCTGTTACACTCGCACATTATCTTAATTAGATCTTACTTCTTTGTAGAGGAGCAGTAGCTTTAGATGGAAGAATAGAACCTGGTGATATGATCTTACAGGTAAACGATATTAATTTCGAAAATATGAGTAATGACGATGCAGTGAGGGTATTAAGGGAAGCCGTGCAAAAACCGGGGTAAGTGGCATGTAGCACAAAATATTTTGTGCATTTTTTCCAGCTTCATAAAATAATATAAAAATTTATATTGACAATTCTTCTAGTCCAATCAAGTTAGTCGTGGCAAAATGTTGGGATCCAAATCCCAAAGGATACTTCACCATCCCTCGGACGGAACCCGTAAGGCCCATTGATCCCAGCGCGTGGGTTGCTCATACCGAAGCGGCTAGAGGTGAGCATTATTTGAAGTAATTTTTAACTTTAAGAATTGTACCAAATTGAAAGGGTTAACTTTACTGATAGCGACAGACTACCCACTGAGACCTCCTTCTGTTAGTACCTTAACTTCAACTAGTTCTTCCATTACCAGTTCGATTCCGGAATCCGATCGTGAGTACGAAATTTTAAAATCTCAAATAATTTCGATTGTTATGTTAAAGAAAACCGAATTGTAAACTTAGGCCAGTTTCAAGAAAATCCGCTGACTCTCGACATGGACATGGGGACGATCGTGAAGGCGATGGCAGCTCCCGAATCCGGTCTAGATATAAGAGATCGCATGTGGTTGAAAATCACCATTCCCAATGCATTCATAGGTAAAAGTGATATATGTGCATCAAAGCGCATTTGTCATTTATTTGAAATTAACAGAATAGTTTTTTCAGGTGCCGACGTGGTCGATTGGCTGTTCACACACGTGCAAGGCTTCCAAGACCGGCGAGAAGCAAGAAAGTATTCTACTCAAATGTTGAAAGCGGGCTACATCAGACACACTGTGAACAAAATCACCTTCTCCGAGCAGTGTTATTATATCTTCGGAGATCTGTGCAGCAGTAAATTTTTTCAAAATATTTAATGTACCACACAAAAATTTTTATATGTTGAAATTTACCGTGTTTTTTCTAGATATGGCAGCTTTAAAATTAAACGAAGAAGATTCCGTTAGCGAAGCGGACAGGGACACGCTAGGGCCTCTACCGCCACCGACGGCACCACCGCCGTGGGGCACCCAGATGCCATATGGCGGCAGCTATGCCCCTCCGGCCACGGGTTTCTTTCCGATGCCGTTCAACTACGCCAACGACACTTCCAATTTTAAAAATTTCAGCATCCGCGAAGGCAGTGTTCATAGTGGTTCGGGTATTTTATCTTCACTAGAATAGCTTAAACCCGAGACTTCAGGGTTCTGACATCGGAGTCTGCGTTTTTCAGGTGGAAGCAGCAATGGCGGCGATCCATCCAAAGAAAAAGACAAATCAGCTAGTCCGGGAGGGAGCGATTCCGAAGCAGCTAGTCAGAGAAGCGGCGGTTGCCGCGGGAGCAGTGCCGGAGAAGGCGTGGGCAGCAGCAGCAGCGAGCAGAGCATCAACACGACGGCCTCTCAAGAAGTGCGGCGCATCGATTCCGTCCCTCCAGATCTTGCTGGTAGTAGACAGTCTTTTCGGATGGCCATGGGCAATCCGTGTGAATTCTTTGTTGACGTCATGTAAATAGATACTAGTTACATAGAAATATATTATTTTTTAACGTCGGCTTCTATCGTAATGCATGCCCTGTACATATTAAATTATTCGTTTGCAGTTAACGTTTTTAAATGTTGTCGTTTTTTTCCCGTACCTTCCCGCCGCTGGCACCGGCCCCGCACGTTCCCTAACCTCTTAACCTATCTTGTTGTCTCTTGCAGTATGCGGGTCCTTGTGCTCGTCTCTTGGTTGACTTGTCCTTTTTTCTTCTCTTTCATGCTTGACCTCCCAGTGGATGATGATATTTTGGAATACCAATACTCAGACAAAGGGATAGTGTAATGACCAGCCTTCCAGGGAACAGTTCGGCCATTTCACCCTCTGCCCTATCTGTCAACTATTGTTGATAACCAAGACCAGAGCTTTCACCTTCATTGTATGGCAACAAAAACTTAATCCCTACTAACCATCGTAACCGAACGGCATAGGATGGTTTTTATTTTTTACAGATATTATTTAATAAATAAAATAATATTCCCATCGCAAAACTATGAAGAGAGAAACTAAATATATCGGGATTTCGGTGTACGTCAACCTGCGGAAACACTACGAAATGTGATTTTTTATTATTGTTATTATTTAAATGTAATCCTACATCTATTTTTGTGTATGTTTTTTTAATGCGTACCGAGCAATAATTTTTTTTTGTGTGTAATTAGCAATATTGCAATTTTTAACGTTCGTTTTCTTCCGTAAAATAATGTAAATCGTGATTATTATTATATATATATACATAATTTTATTTTTATTTTCTATTGTCGATTATGTACTGATTGATATGGGGACCTTAATAAATAATAATCAAATGTGCCATATTTTCAGTGGAAGAACTTTTTTCGACTTTTTAACGGGGGGAAAACATGTACATAGATGTGAATAATTCAGTTACCGAAATACTCCGAATTAGCGTCGCCACGTAGTTAATTTCTGGGAATGGCGGACGACAATTTTTTTTCCTGTCTTTGTTTTCTACTTGTGTATAAGATGGACGACGTGGCACACGGTTGATTTATGTCGGACGTCTCGCGAACACGATTACTGTGTATGGAATTATTTTCTGCCTCTGCGGTAAATATGAGCGAAATATTTTGTCACTCGATTGTAAACGGCAGCTGTTGTGCAGATCTTGTATATTTTTCCACTTTTTTATTGCACGATCGTTTATACTTTTTCTCGAAGAGCACGACCATCGACTCCGCTTCTATCAGTCTCGTGACGGATGTTAACTTAATTATTTACGGGGAAATTGTAAATGGTGTTTTTTGACTTAATAATAATAATAATAAATGGCTAACGATCTTTTTAATTGTGTCATTTTTTTTTTAATTTAGCAATTGTCAAAATAGCAAATATTTACATAACATTACAATATAAAGCCGAAAATGAAACTATGCGGTCTCCTGCATTTTATGCAGACCTTGTCCTCTTCTTCCAATGCCATATGTCCGAGAAGAAAATCTGAAAAATAAAGTAATTAGCATAAATCGGTAATACATGTTTAAATTAAAAGCAAGCGTTTTAGTGAGTAGGTACCATTTAACGGAATACACAAGTTAAAGTAGCTACAGTTGGGAGTCAAAGCGAACATACACCTTCAATTTTCAAGAATTAAATCATGTCAAATTAATTTATTTGTGAGAAAAGAAATAATTATGTATACGTACACATCCCACGTTCAAATATTTTATAAAATTATAAATATCTGAAAAATTTTTCTGGTGTCCTCAAACCATATGTTTGGAATCCTCTGCCATCCATACCTTACGGTAAACACTAGATTCTTCGGAACTTTTGAATGAGTCGCGAATATCTCCGATTTACAATTGTCTGTACGTTTTCTCGATATTGTAAAGAAAGTCTTTGAATCTATTCTCAAATAACAAGCATTTGTGGTAATTTTTTCTTTACTTGTTGGCTTTTGTTCTTAATACTGTGTCACGAAATTCATGGGAAATGTATTCTCCCAACAATAATTGCACTTACTGGTGATCCGTTCACGTCGGGAGATTTCACCTGCAGGTTTAGCGGCAGTAATGTTGGGATTCTGTTTAATGTGTTGAACTACGGCATGGATGTCTGCATTTATTGCTTTGTGGGTAATCCCAAACGAGTGCACATTTTAACATATTCTGTAAAAAATATCTCGTTACAATACATCAAACTGTTGTTGGACTTTTCTTGACAGTTCTTCCAATTTCTAATCAGTTTTTGTTTCCTCAGAAGTTCATGACCAGTACTCAAGATAATAATAATGATAAAATACAACCTCGCAGTTAACATTATTATCATTATTTTCAATGAAAATATCACCCTTTAACGAGAATGTAATTTCCAAACTCAATTGGCAAGTGAGTGCACACTGTACGGCGAGTTTTGACTAGTAGATTTCTACCTTTAATCTCGAATACGCAAGAAATTTGTTTGCAAATCGTGATGTACGATTTTTAGCGATGTAGATTTTGAGATATCAATGGAACACAGTTTGGATCTTGCAATGGGCTTGGTACGCAAGAAGCACTCTTCAGCTTAAATGTATTAGTTCAAAGATGCAGAGATATGAATGCCAATGTTTACGTCTGCTTTATAGACTATCGTAAAGCTTTTGACGATTGAGATCTTAACATCAATTGGCATTGACAAAGGCAGTCTTGTGTCATCAGTGAACTGTACTGGCATCAAACAACAGGGGTCAGACTTGAAAAAGAAACTTCTGAAATCACATTAATTAAGAGAAGAGTACCTCAAGGTTGTGTTTCCCCCTCTTTAATATATACTGAGGCCATATTCAAGGAAGCATTAGAAGACAATAATTGTGGGAATATTACATATGCAGACGATGCAGTGGTTATAGCAAGTAGTCCTGAAGAATTACAACAACTGATGGACCGTATTGTCGAGTACAGTGAACTGCATGGTCTCTTTATGAATTTTACCAAAACCAAACTTCTTGTGTTCTCAAAAACAAGAAAAAGTGCAAATCTTGTCATTCATGGGAACACTATTGAGCAAGTATCAACTATCAAATACCTTGGCACAATAATAAACGAACAATGTGATCAGCGTAAAGAAATAAGAGCAAGGATCGAAGCCACAACATAGTTTATGAATACGAAAAAGTTTTTTGTTACATCCAAATTGAGTTTCTGTCTGAGGATTCAAATGTTAAGGTGCTACATCATCTCCGTCCTGCTATATGGATGTGAAAGTTGGACTCTGGTCCACCAAACTGAGAAAAGAATCGAAGCTTTTGAAATGTATTTGTACAGACAAACACTTCGAATATCATGGGTGCAAAGGATTACTCATTTTGAAGTCTTCAACCACATGAACAAGCAAAAAGATCTCCTGCTGACTATCAAAATCAGGAAAACACAGTATATAGGTCTAATATATATATTCTCTCCTCTCATTATATGAGAGGAGAGAATATATATATTAGAGGACAAAATACAAGGAAAAAGATCTATTGGAAGACCAAAGAATCAATGGTTGAAAGACATCACAAGGTGGTTCGGATGTACATCTATGGAGATATTCTGAGCTGCTATATCGAGGACAACGTTAGCTATATGGATTGCCAACCTTCGACAGGAGATGGCGCATTAAGAAGAAGAGTTTGAGAAAATAGATTTATACAATAATCTATATATATATATATATAAATGGACGTGTTTGTCCCTATATTTCACTCTGCAGCCAAACTACACATTGCACATGAATGGTGTTTGCGTGTGGTAGTCCCAAGTCTCCCATCGTGCACTATGGTGGTTGCATCTCGATAGTTATAAGGGTGTGGGAGATATGGGGGTTGATACTAGTTTACTTCGAATATGTGTAACAATGGAAGTGTCAATAATGGAAGTTTTAACAATGGAAGTGTTAAAGAGAAAGCGGCGTGCAAGATTTACAGGCGCAGATGCGGGTTTTTGCAAGAAATCGAACATATTTTTAGACCCATGTAAAAATTCTCTAATTAGTCTGGAAACGGGGGTTCTAATTCTTGCATTCTGTGAAAATGGGTAAGATTGGCTATAATGTAATCTTAATCTTAAATATTTTCAAATAGTTGAAAATGTTTTGGAATAGCCGAGGACCATTATGTGTGAGTAGTGAGGATGGCTTTTAGAGACGTGTGATGCACACGCTTCAGTTGATTTTTCATTAGTAAAAGTGTATGAATAACAGAAAAAGGTAGAAAGTGAAAAGTGAATAGTGAAGTGTGTAAAGTAAAAACATAAAAAACAATGCCAAAGTGTAAGAAAGAATTTTTGCGGTCTTGAATCATATCGAACAGAAATAATCAAACAGAAGAGCAACTTGTAAATTATTGGGAAACACATTGAATCAGAGAAAGATTATGTAGAGGAAGGTAAATAAAAAAAAACTATATTACATATAAATGTACGAACAAATAAAAACCCAGCAAAGCGGGTCCTTGCAGCTAGTTTAGAATAAAAATTCCAAGTCATAGTTTAACGTGTCAGATTTTTTTGCATATTAACTTATACAAGGAAGCACATGTGAGTCACAAGTGTGAGTAATGCGAGTATTGCAAATACGTTTGACACAGTATTTTGCTGGACAAAGTGGTCCTGACAAATACGTTAATGCTCTTTGTATACCGGTATTAACATTTTTGCACCAGAGATTAACAATTCGTCGGATAATGAACGAACACGTTTGTTGTTATCGATCCTGGATTTGACAACTTCTACAAAAGGAAAAAAGCTCCATCGACGCCCACCGGTGGAAAGAGCAGGGAAAAATTAACAAGTTTGCATCAAATCTAACTACAAATTGATTTCTGTACAAATAATTTCCGAGAGATCTCCATACGTATTAATCTTTTTGCAGTCAATGCATTGAGCTTTCTTTGCCAAAGATCACAAATATATTTCTCTGGAACACCCAAAAACTGGCATCGAGCAGTCACAAAATGAACGGTGCGTAAAAAACAGTCTGCATTACTCATGTTTCTTCTGTGTCCACACATTGAATTTAATAATAATAATAATGTATATTTTCAGTGTACAGAACAGTTTTAATAACACTTTCCAATTCCTTATTTGGCTTTTCCAATGGCTGTTTTTTTTTTTTTTTTTTAACAAGAACTGCCACATTTTTAACAATCGTGGAAGTAATGCAATTTGAAAAAGATTGACTTTTTAAAATTACTCTTCGGTTCTTTTATAAAATCGTACTGGTTATGCTAGTAACCTCGAGCCTATCGTAAGTGAACATTTATCATCCGAGTTGTTATATTTCGAAAATACAATTTCATTTCGTTTATTTTTGTTAAAGGCATCGACAAAATACAATGCTCACTCGGAGTGAAGATTCCATAACGTAAATTGAATTTGGGAATAGAAGTTAATTGGAAAAAAGTTTGCTTTTTATGCAATTTGAATAAAAACTTTCAGATTTATGCCATCAAAATCAAAATGCGGAACAACCTTCGGATTCCAGAGCAAAAAAAAAAATATGTTATTTTTTTCAATTGGGTCGATTTTTTTGAGCAACCTACAGAAACACCTGCCAATTCCGCAGTTACGTAGTTTGCTATACTTTGCTCACTCGCACCGTGGGCATTGCCCACTTGTTCCCTATAGACTACTTATAATAAAAATTTTGTGACCATCTATTCAGAAAAATTCCATGCATTGTCTTGCGAGATTAATTTAAATGCTTTGCTAGTTAAATATATATGTACAAGGTGTCCCAAAAGTCTCCATACAGTGACCCAAATCAAGCCCACCGGTGGCCAAATAAATAAAACAGAACACTGGTAGTTGGTCATCGGTTCTTGCCTGACCAATGGGCTGGCCACCAAGCAATGTTCTGGGTTTTCTTCATGTGTAACACCTAAATAGAATCCACTTTCCACATAGTATGTATGGAAACTTTTGAGACATCATGTATTTTCAAATGTGAGCTAAGTTTTTTGATGTTCCTATAAGGATCAGAGGCAATTTATATCTATTATTGTTATTAGCAATATAGCGAGTAATCTTTTTGCATCTTACATCGTAGTACCCTAAATGTTTTTGGTCATAGATTCTGCAATCTTCCGAGGTAATGCCTTACCGATATAGGTTGGTCACATACATGGTCTTTAACCGAAACATGATTGGTCATTTCCTTCCGTAATTTTTTACAATAGCAGAAATTGACTATCTGCAGTCTTCACTTAGGTTCTTGCCCTGGATCAAGGAATGTCAAGGACCGTGATGAAACTTAAATTTCTTAAACTTAATAACTCACTAATGTTTATCTGTCATTTCAACAGGTTTACTAAATAAAAACTTCTTGTTTTGTATTTTAATAATTTAACAACTCACTAACGAGTGTATTTTAACAAAGACAGAGTGATGCCAACACCAATATCGTGATGTGTTACAGCAGGGTGGAGTTAAGTAATGGTTAATGGAGACAAAGTGAAGTTCTAACATATTTTGCTTCCATCATAAAGCAAAGATCTGCCACATGTCATTCATTAATTCTATAAAATAATATCCAAATTATTTGTTAATACAATTGAAAAACTGTATTGCAAAGGTTAAATATTCATTTTTGCTGAAGCCAACTCCGCACGTTCGGTATTTGCCGAACGCCAAGCAAACATATGGCCAATACTGTGTATGATTTACAACTCACAACTAATAATTGGTATTTGTCATTTCCCACTCACAACTAATAATTGGTATTTGTCACAATACTCACAACTAATAATTGGTATTTGTCATTTCCCACTCCTCCTTTGTATACCATAACAATCGTAGAGGACAAATAAGCATTATTTGGTAACTAACAAATACCGAATACACAAAGCCTGCTTGACAGAAATGCTTACCTCGCTTTAATCTTCAAGCTCTGCAGTTTCTGGATTTTTCATCATAAGCTGTTTTTATTTAAAATGAAAAATAAAATACGTTATATATTATTAAAAAAATTTTCATACAGGGTAGAATCCACTTGCTATAATCGTTTTATGACTAGCCCGTACTGACGTGATGACGACCTATAATGTTATGTTGGGTAAATATATTACACTGCAGTTAGTGAAAATTTGGAAATTCTGGTTTATCAACCCCGACATTAAAAGAACATGTTAAGTAATATATAATTTGAAAATTCATTAATTGAAGTAGCAAATGCCGACTATTTAAATTACTAATCCTGTAAACAAATAACGATTAATGTTTAAAGTACCATTGAAGACTGATCATTAACAAAACCAAATCTTTGACAGCTGTGTTTATCACAAAACACTCGAGAAGCAAATGCTTACAAAGCAGCGCGGCACCAGAAGGAAACCGAATTGCACAACACTTCAAATTTTCGCGAGTGTGTGGCACACCCTGTATCCTCTTTTAACTGAACAAAATGTGAGTGTACTAATTTTGATTCGCTCTACAACTTTACAATTAAGACTGTAGTTCTATCCATAAAAGGAGCCGAAATAATTTTACTGTCTTTTTCAGGAGGTGGGAAAATGCACCAATGAATAGCTCACCCTTGATAATGTATGAAAGCAAGTATTATGTGAATCCAACAGTTCTTTCCGAGCTGTCATACTGGATCACTCTCTATATGAAATTCTGATTATGGTAAGTGGATTCTATTGCAAGTATAAAAATACTCTTACATTAAATTTAAATGTTTCTTCTGGACATACTGAAATAACAATGTCAACCAAACTGAATATTTCTATCACTTGTCGTAATTCGTTTCCTCCGTTCCAAAGTAAAGTGAGTTTAGGAACGCCTCTATCTTTCTCGTAAACGGCCGACTTGAGATCGAGTTTCTGGAAAGAATTTATTCCGTAAGAAACTTTTATGAAAAAAGGAAAACTTTATGAAGAAATAATATTGAAGTCAAACTCACATCGCAATAAACTCTCTTTACGACTCCCATGCGAAGTATTAAGACATCAAACGAATGATCCATAACACCCATAACCATGGCTTTCTCTTCGAGAGGTCCGCATTCCTAAAAATTTAAATTATTACCTTTTAATGCCACGTCTTTTACGTTACTCTAATTTTTTTCTGCAATTTACAAACTCTCACCTTTAGAAAAATAAATAAGAAAAGTTCCGAGCTGATCTCGTTAACTCTTTTTCCGGTGTATTTCATATCGTTACAGTGGTTTACCAATCGCTGTAAGGCTTTCGATTCGTAAGCCGGAGGCGGACGATAACCTAAATGATCGCTATAAATTTGTTAAACAGAAAAAGAAAAAAATTAATAAATAGTATATAAAGACATTTATACCTAAAGATGCTGCTAATAAACGATGCACAATAATGTCCGGATAACGTCGAATAGGTGACGTGAAGTGAGTATATAGTGGAACATTCAATGCGTAATGGTGATATAGAGAAGTATCAGTTAAATTACCTGAGTTGAAATAAAGTGCACACTAGAAAAAAAAAACAATGGACAAAATATTTACCTTTTCTTTCTATAATTTAATAATTCTTTTGAAACTATCAACTTTGGCATTCTCATAATAAATAAATAAATAAAAATTAACTAATAAATTCAAGAAGTCAAATATTTATTTGTGATTAAATGTTTTACAAGACAATCTGTAAGTAAATAGACATCCCAAATATCAGCAAATGCATGAGGTTCATGTAAATGACTGTGCTGTACATATTGGAGAAGGGTCTTCATCCAGTATTTTTTGGTGGGCTGATGGACAAAACTTCCATATATTCATGCACAATGGAGTTCCTTGTCACACTGCTAAAAAATCCTGGAATTGACTGACAATGCAAGGCATCCACGAGCTTCCTTGGACCATCGGTCACCCGACACGAATCCCATTGAATACATTTGGAATCTGTCGGATTGTGCACTGTGATGATGTTCGTGAAAACCCACTTCCCACAGAGAACCTATTAGACTGCGTGTCAAGTGAGCCAACATGGCAGAACTCATTGCAGTGGAACAACTAGGTTTTACTATTCATACATGACATTTGTATCACATGGATACTGTGAAACAAAACACAGTATGAAAATAAGGGTGTGTATTTATTTATGGGTTGTGTCTGTATATCATTTCCTTAGAATCCTTAACAGCAGTTATTAGCTCTGAACCAAGACTAATGATTGTTAATACAATAACCATTGACATTTTAATGAGAGAATACATAAATTATATCTAGATTTCACTTGTTAATTTGTATTTCCACTTAAAATATCAATAATCATTTTATGTTAGGACTCGCAGACACTTGGCACAATCACACCACTAATATAAACATGATAAAATCTGTTTAATTCCTCTTATGTTACAAGGATTGTATTTATTTTTGCTACAGTTAAATATTTATAAGTATATTAAAAAAGTATATTAAAAAGTTAAGAAAGTAAAATGTAAAATAGAACACTGCATTGTAACTGAACTGGATGTGCCACAGTTGTTGTTATTCACAAAAGAAATACATTTTGTCTCGAACAACTATAAACATAAAAGTAACTACAAAAGTATTTAATAAATACAGGTGAGTCNTATATATCATTTCCTTAGAATCCTTAACAGCAGTTATTAGCTCTGACCAAGACTAATGATTGTTAATAGAACAATCATTGATATTTTAATGAGAGAATACATAAATTATATCTAGATTTCACTTGTTAATTTGTATTTCCACTTAAAATATCAATAATCATTTTATGTTAGGACTATCAGACACATGGCGCAATCACACCACGAATATAAATATGATAAAATCTGTTTAATTCCTCTTATGTTACAAGGATTGTATTTATTTTTGCTACAGTTAAATATTTATAAGTATATTAAAAAATTGTTTTAAAAAGTTAAGAAAGTAAAATGTAAAATAGAACACTGCACTGTAATTGAATTGGATGTACCACAGTTGCTGTTATTCACAAAATAAATAAATTTTGTCTCGAACAACTATAAACATAAAAGTAACTACAAAAGTATTTAATAAATACAGGTGAGTCACAATGGTCTCCAGGATTTCGGCAAGCCACAACACTAATGGTAAGAGACATAGAATAACAATTGTGTGGTAATCGAAAGAGAAATTCTCCAAGTTTGCTTGGAGACTTTCTCCTTCAATGCTTGTATGCTTGGGTATGGGAATTGGCAAGGTTTGCTGCCAGGGAATTGCAGTCAGTCAGCATGGTGTCAGACATAGTTTATTGTTTTCCGACATATGTGAAAACTCAGTTTATTATTGTAGTCTAGCATTCTTATGCTTGCAAGGATACATCGACAGACGGAACAATATATCAGTGGTATGTTAATTTTTAGAATGCAGGATATCATGCTCTATTAAAAGCCCCAGACAACCAAGTCCATCACGGGAAAGAGTCGACTGAGCAAGGGAGGCATTTAAAATGCAGTCCCCACAGGTTTATTAGGAATGCCAATCGACAAATGGATATCTCATAGAAAACAGTATGGCATATCTTGCCAAATTGCAAAAATTGTTGTTGATACAAGCTCCAACACAAAATGATCACAAATTCCAGTTCTAATCCACATGTAGGAACATATGGAGAAGACAGTTTCATTGAGAAAATTGTGTTTAGCAACAAAACCACACTCCACTCATGCAGTAAAGTGAACAGACAATGTGTAAATCTGGAAAGCAGATAAAGCACATTCCACCATGGAACATCTTTATGACTCTTTCCAAGTAAATGTGTTCTGTGCCGTATCGCACGACAAAATTTAAGAGCTATTTTTCTTTGATGAGGCAAACGTCACCTGCATCATTTTCCTTGATATGCTTCAGGTGTGGCTATAACAACAACTTGAAGATGATAACACAGACTTCATTCTTTAATTAAACAGGGCTCCACCACCCTTTGGTAGTGACATCGGTACCTATCTCAACGAGCAGCTACCCTGCAGTGGCTCAGCCACTTTGATCACCGGTCTTTAATACCATGATTTTTTCCTTTGGGGCTATGTCAAGGACAAGGTGTTTGAGCCGCCCTTATCCAAAACTTAATGAAATTGAAACAGTGCATTACCGCAGTTATCACTTGCGTGGACCAGGAACCACCCAAATTTATGCAGATTATGGCAAATTTTTAAATCAAAACATGCTTTAAGTGAAATTCTTGAAGCATGAGAGAAATAATGGAACACCTTTGATTTTACTAGTGTGGATGCCGAATTTGTACGATTGGCAGAATATAGATCACGTATCATATATGAAACTCTGATACTGATTGGCTTTGATTGATATTTTTCAATGCCTACTCCTTTACATATATAGTCTCTAAATATAGTTTTGTTCTTAATGATTCTGATCCTATGAAGATATATGAATTACCTTGAGAAAATGTTTACTCACAAATAAATGTGACTTCTTGTACTATATTAGCCATCGTTTGCTTGTTTCTTGAATAATTTAATAAATTATTTGCACTTACCCTCATTGGTTTTGAACAGAGTGTGGTTAATACTTGTATTCTAGCTTGAGAATATATATCATCATCACTAAAAAGTGAATTTAAAGAAGCCTACATATATATAGAAAAATCTTTGATTAATTTCAAATCAATATCAATAAAAGTTAATAATAATAACAGTAAGGTCTACCTGTAAACTACCAGAAGTACTTGAATTTAATTGAATTCCCATAGCCGAACACATAGTGACAATATTGTTCATCATTTTATTATCCGGAGGGGGATGACGTCTTAAGAGAGCTTGATCGGGATAGAATTCATATATTCTGTGAGCTACAGCCATGTTAGCTAATAGCATAAATTCTTCTATGAGTTTGTTACTATCTTTATGTTCGTAAATTGTAAATCCCGAAGGCAGACCGGTTTCTTTATCTAAACTGAACTGTAACTTGACTTGGTCCAGTCGTAGTGCGCCGTCTCTAAATCGTTTCTCTCGCAACTTCTTTGCAATTTTATTTAAACGCAACACCTTTTGGACGATGTCATTTAATTTATGATCGCCGTGAATGGGTGGCAACTCGTTGAAACTATCCCACTCTTTCTGGGGGTTTTCGATCATTTCCTGGAGAGAATTAAAAGAAAATGACAATTAAATTTAAGAATTGGGATCTTTTTTTACTAAAATTCAAATTGTATTTTATATCATAATAAAATTAAAAATTATATTTTAAGACATTTTATATCCTAATATACTCCACATCATATTAATGTATAATCTGTCTTAGTTATGAAAATTTTTAAATAAAAATCTACAAAATTAAACTCGTTTAAGTTTCTGAACAATTTAAGTTTGTAAGTAATAAAATATTTGAGTATGACAGTAGTTTAGCCTTTATAAGTTCAATTAACTGACTTTCGGGTCACCTTGTACTTTTGACATTGAAAAAACTGTCAATATTTTGAGATCTATCTATTACTTTGGTTTGAGTTCCTTAAGTTATCTGGTTTTCTGCTTAAAAATCATGCTTAACAGATCAAATTTTTGTTATAATTATAGCTTAGAGACAAAACTATATCAATATTACTTAGAGGAAAGAAATTTCAACCTGTAGAGCTTCCTCTCAAGGCCAAGGAAACCGGTGCATTTCTTGGGTGTTACGTGTGAGAACGGGGTTTCCTCTTTCACGTAAAGTGCACCAAGAGTACAAATTCTGATCCAAAAGATTCTCTTTTGCCTTTTTTCCTTCTTTTTCACAGCTGCATAAATGCAGCTGAAGAGGAGTAAAATATATGAGAGAGAACAAATGGAGATGGGAGGGACATGTTAAAAGAATAAAGATAATGATAACAAAAATAGTAATGCAATGGAAGAGTGGAACAGTGCCAGGATGATCTTGACAGTAAACTCAGAAAACAGACAAAAAGGAAGAACTAAAGGGGCATAGATATCGTACAGTGAATAATTTTGGCCAATGACAGACAATGACGATTTTGTAATATCTTTCTTAATTTTATAGATAAAATAACCTTTTGGTTTGGTAATAAACTAATGTCACTCCTTGTATTTTGATTAAATTCAATTCTTAACCGATTGCATTTCTGAACAAAATTTATTTCCAAAAGACAAACTGCAGTGCAATTAAAAGATCCGATGCAGTAGCTTATTGTTAAAATAATTGAAATATTTATTTTGTCATGCTTAATTATTAATTGAACGTGACAAATTAATTATGTTTAAACCCTGTTTATTAATATTAGCAACTGTTAACATTAAAACATGTTTCAAATCTATTACTGGTGGTGACTGGAGCTTGTGGGACCCTAGGCAAAAACAATTTTTCGGGCTTGTTCTCTTTAGAAACATTTGAAAATCACCATTACTTTAAATTTAGTATTTTAATTTATTCCCTGCACCCAGAGCAAAATGGTTCTGTGCGAGAGTAGTCTGTGTGGGCTAAATCATGTATTCCGCAAACTGCTAAAAATAAAAATTTTAATTAAGTAAACTTATTTTTGGAAGGCCGTAAAGAACTTTAATGTATTCAAACTTAATTTTCTATATTTAAATTTAAATAAAACGATAATAAGTTATTATGTATAACTATATTATTTACCTGGGCATGATTATAACTTAACTTCATACAAGAACAAATCATGGATCGTCCAAACCATTCGTCTAAGATTTCCCCATCCTCATTCATCTTCCAAACTACGGAAAATGTCAGTCTGTCCTCACCTGGATTTAAGCTGCAAAGTCTTTCGCAGAGAAGTGGCGGAAGCATTGGAATGACCTTATTAAATATTATTATTATTTTATTTTCATTTTTATTAAATGATTTTTTTTACAATATTTTCTTCCGGTGAAGTACCTTTTGTACTAAATAAACACTGGTTGCTCGATCACTTGCGGTTGTGTCTAAAGCGGTGTTCTCTTTTACAAAATAAGTAACGTCGGCTATGTGAACGCCTATTTCGTAAAGTCCGTCTTGAAGAAATCTACAGGAGACCGCGTCATCCAAGTCACGCGCTGTCGATGGGTCGATTGTAAAAACACATTCTTTTCTAAAATCCTTCCGTTCCCTCAGTTCCTCCTGAAAGTAATAAGTATTGGAAAGTAATGTCATTTCTAACTCACACGTCCTTACTTAGCTTTTAAAATACCAACTTCGGGAACAATCCAATCAAGATAGTCATTTAACTCTTTCTCTATTTTATCAGAGAAATCATTAGTATCTATCCCATTTTCTAATAAAATCCCTTGAGTTTCGGCTTCCACTTCACCCGTTTCTCCCAATTTCTGAATAAGCTTTCTGCAATATAAAAATACTTTAATGGCACCGATCCCCCTTATCAACTTGCCAATTAAATAGCAACTAACAACCACCAAATGTTTACATTACTGACGCAAACAGAGAAAGTATGTGTACAACACACATCCAAGCTATATTAAGATTATTAAATAACAACCATACAAATGTGCTATGACATGCAAAAGCTCAACATTTTAAACAAAAAAGTAAATAAATAAATAAAATGCAAAAATCAAGCTATTTAATAACAAACAAAATATTTTTGTTGAGCCAAAACCACATATTGTTTGTTGTAATTTAAAGCAGACAGGATCAAGTGAAAAGTTCACTTGCAAGGAGTAGACTTGGCAAATTGGGGAGCCGACAGCAACTCGAATGGCTTGTCATTTATCAATTTTGACTTACGAGAAATAGATCTGACAATACCGACAGCAACTCGACCGGCTCATCACTCGCCACACTCAATTTATTTGGTTTCAAAAGTCTGTAGTACATAAGTATTAAAGATTTAAGTGTTTCTCACAATGCATAGCAGGGTAGTAAGAAGCAAGGTTGATCGATGGCACCATCGAGTCCACCCCTCACAAGTAAGCTTTCGTTCGATCGTCCAGAATCAGCATTAAATATTGATCAACAAAAATTTTTGAACAAATTGCACCGTAGTTTATACAAGAATCAAACCGTTTCATCGTTTAATTTCCGACAAAAGAAAGTAACTACCAAATCAATCAATTCAAGTAGACTTTACCCTTTAGCAAATTTCGATTCGTCAGTCCATTCTACAATTTCTGCCAAGAAGAGATACTTTACAAAATCATCCGGACGCAATAAAAAGTCTAGAAAATAAAGTATAAAAAAAATTTTCATTATTAAAGTAACAAATCAAAAGTTGTTATAAAAATTTCTACCATTACCTTTAGGGCATTCGTTCATGGGAATAAAAATTCGAGGCAATTTGTGATCGGTGGGAGAAAAGAGCGCCCACTTACTACTTTTATCCTGTAATAACTTAAGAAATCCAGCTGCCTTACGAGTGTGTTTTTTTTCTAAAATATAAACTACCTAACAAAAAAAAGATATAATAAATCAGAAACTTCCTAAAAATAATTTAAATTATTTTATTATAATAATATAAAAATTT